TTGTCTTGATCCTCCTTTGTGGATGGGGTTATTATGGCGTCTTTCCAGTCACGCGGTAACACTCCATTTTAGAGAGAAAGCTTGAAGATCGTAGTCAAAGGGCCGGCCATGTGGGCTGATGGCTCCTTGGGAAGCCTTGGATGAAGATTATCAGCACCCGTTGATTTCCCTGCATCTAGTTTCCTTAGGCAGTTGACCACGATGCCTTGGTCGATGTCAACGGAATCTATCCCATTTTCTTCTGATGCAGCCAGAACTGATCCTATAGGCAGTGACGACTCCTGAGTGAAGACTTGGGAGAAGTAGTTTGCCATTGCTTCTGCTTTTTCTTGATCTTCTTCGATTGTATCATAGTCAATAGTCAGGTTTGGGACACCATTGGATGTTTTATTCCTGAAGTTCATGTACGAGAAAATTTTCTTAGGTTGTGCCTTTGCATTTTGAGCCAGGTGTGCTTCGAATTTCATCCTTGATTGGCGGATTTCTGCAATAGCTTTATTTCTAGCAGTGTTGCATAATTGCCTGGTCTCAGAATTCTCAAGTGTAATTCTCAAGAGTAACTTACGAATCTCTCAGTTTATCCAAGGAGGGCAATGTTTCCGACCCTTTGGGACAGACCAAGGGATGAAAGGTTCAGTTACTTGGGCGTAAAGTTGTTTAAATTGGTTCCATGCGGCTTCTACTTGAGACTCTGGGTTGATGTACCAGTTTACTGAGTTGGCTGCTGAGACGATTGCATTTATATCAGCTTTCCAAACGTTTGGTCAAGATGGGGTTTTGGCCATTGCTGCCGTTGCTGTGAACTTGAAAGTAAGCACAGTATGGTCACTTCTTCCTAAAGGAGGAAGATGTTGTATGAGATCCACATCATCACCGTGGGAGAACACTAGGTCTAGAGTTGAGGAGGAGTGCTATGAGTCATATCGCATGGGCTTAATGACATGTTCAACTAGGGCTAACGATATACTAGATTCCAGCAGTTTATGATCAAAGGAGTTGACTGAGGATGGAGTTGTTAGGCTCGTCCAGTCAACTGTTGGGGCATTGAAGTTGCCAACTACGACACTTCGACATTTCGAGGTCCAGGAGCCTAGCTTCTCTATCAGGAAGTCATCTGCACCGCAGTCAGGACTGCACTACATAGCAATGAGGTCAATGTCTTGGCCTATGCATTTAAGTCTGCAGCGTAGAAGTTCGCACGACTGATATATACACAGGTGACTCATTAATATTCATCATTTATTTCCCACACTTGCATAATCATTCATTTCCCGCATCTGCGTGATTATTGATTTTAATTAATGAATTCCCATGGTTTGTTAATATTTTTAAAATGTGACATTGATTTTCCTAACTGTATAAATAGGGAGTTCTTGTTTAACATTTCGACTGCTGTTAGAGGCAGTAAAAGCTCTTGTATCAACGTCCAGTCTTCTTTCTTTGTCTTGCGTGCCCGGCGGTATTGTCGTTGTTGTTGTTGTTGACGTGAGATTAGGATAGATTAGCCAGCGCATTAAGCTAGATTCGCTCGTAGTCTACAAGGTCCTAATATCTCATATGTAACAACGACTCACTTTCGTGAGCGACTGCTTCGATGCTACGCACGGTTAAACATTTCTTGAGGTAGATGACTACGCCACCTCCTTCGCGGTTTAGTCGGTCCACCCTATGCACTTCCAAGTTTGGCAGGTTAACTTCGTTGTCAGTCAGCCATGTCTCTGTGATAATAATTACGTCCGGGTTTCCGGAGTCTATCATGTTAACCAGCTCAGTCTGTTTATTTAACAGGCTGCGGGCGTTTGTGTAGCAAACTGTCAATTCAGTTTGGCGCTTCCCTGGCCTACCCACAGAGGTTTCGGGATCATTAAACTGCGAACTTGGACAACCCGAAAACCCTTAATCTTAAGGTTCTTTTCGCCGTTTCGGCGTCGTTCGCTTAATTCTATGGCCACAGACTGTCTTTTGACACGGTCTGCTAGGCTTAAGGCGGCGCGGACATATATGCCTGATCCTTTAAGAATATGAGAGTTGCTTAGAATAGCATCCCTTTCTTCTTTAGAGTTTAATACGACTTTGAGGAGATGTACAGGCTGACTTACTGTAGGGTCAGGCTTTTGGCCGATTCTATATACGCTATTTATAGTAATGCCTGATACTGTTTGTGGCAGTAGCTTGTCTGAAAGGGGCTTAACCAAGCTAAGGTCATGCTCGAATCTAGTCTTGGGATCGGGGGCCAGTGACTCTTCCACTTTGTGGAGAATGAGCGACCTGTCAGAGAGATCAGGTTTGCTTGCCGTGGCTTTCTTGCTCTGCGGCGTAAATGTCTTTCTGTCCTTCGTGGGCACTGTGGCCAATGTATTGTCCTTATCTCGCTTTTTGTGAGAGACTACGTTACGCCATTCATTGGCGTTCTCCTCGCTAATCGTAGTAGGATTTATCTGCCTGTTACTCACCGGTGTGGATGAGGCTCGATCCACTAGTCCCTGGACGACTTGAGCTGCAGGTTTTCGACCCCTGGTACGCCTCTTCTTTGAGGCAGTCTTTCCATTACTGTCACTGGAGGGCTTATCCAGTATCGTGGGGGCAGTCTGGATGTCTGGAATGTGGTGAGTGCTCTTCTATGCTGAAGGGCACTCACTTATTGACAGAGACGCATCGGGGACACGTGCTGTTTTGTCGATGACGCTAGTCACGTCATCGTTGTCTGAGCAATAGTCGGTGTTCTCCTGTAGTGGAGGACGCTTGGAGTCCATGAGCTTTAAAGTCCCAATTAGAGTGGCAACGGTTTCTGTAATACGGAATTTGGTAGTAGTACAACAGTCATTGCACAACCAGTTTGCTAGAGGTTTGCAGCAGCGTTTGTATGCTGCAGGAGTCAGGTTTGTGCACATACTGTGAAACCATCTCATGCAGTTATCACACTGCATTCCCTCATCCACTGGAAATTGGCACATAACCCTTCCGCAGCGGTTTTTTGATGGGCTTACTGTCTGGAGCGAACTGGCGAAGAAATTCAAATATAACTTTTAATGTATATAGACCTTTATGAATCAGTGATAAAAACCAATGGGTGCACAAAAATATATATAACTATTATGTTATAAGACACAACTTCCTATAATTTAAATAGACTCAGATCTGAAAAGTAAACTAACTTTGATTAGAATAAACTGATTTAAAATTAATCTGTAGACTTTTGGAGAGTATAACACAACAAAAGCCAAAACTAAACAAGAGCGTGTAAAATTCCCTCCCTTTTCAAAGTTCGCTCGGTAGCGGTAGCAAGAGGTTTATATAGGAATGAGAAAGCATGATACTGGTATCTAACAGCTCATTACTAGATGTAAAACTGATAGAAAGGGTGTACTTTGGATGTAGGATTATATTCGCAGCCACCCAAATTCTGAAATAATCTGGGAAATAATGGCCGTCTACGAAGACTTCGTCAGAATGCAGATATGTAGTACCGTGCAAATGTTTGAACCACAATTGGTGGTCATTTACGTTTCATAAATCATTGACTCCCTCCTAGTTGGCGATGTTGTCTGTGAGCTACTAGACTACAGAGTGTTAGGGTAGTAAGGTTTGTATTCAGTCATCCAAAGTGCTTTCACTTTTTTATTATAACAAGGTGTTTTACAGTTCGTGTGCGATGCTTGAAACTCCCAGCGATACATGGTAGCTCCTCTAGAATATCTAGTCAAGTGTTTTTCCTTCTAAATAAAGTTGAACCTTAACTAACGCAGGCGGCAAACTGGACAGAAAGTTCTGTCTAACTATGCTGAGTGTTGATGAATGTTTCTGAGTAATGAGTGGATGTCTGCAATGTATTATTATTTTTTCCTTTAATTCCTAGAGGAACATAGGGCTTCAGCTGCACGCCTCCATTGCGTTCGGCTCTCTGCTAAAGTTTTCACCTGGCTCCAAGTATACCCATATGCTTTCATTTCCTCTTCACATGACCTCCTCTAATTCACCCTTGGTGTCCGCAATGCGCAACACGTCAATGTTGCTACTGACATTTTATCGGCTGTTTGCAGACTGAAAGTGTTATTTGGTCTCTAATTGATGTTGGTTTGTGACGGGATCTGACAACTAAAACTAAAAATGCTGTCAATTCTATGGCCACCAGTTGTGGTTGCATGAATACTGACTGAAAGCCGAATATTGATACCGACGGCGACCATTGCAAATCACATATCACTGATATAAACATATAGGCGGTTAGATCACGATTGATGGCTAAAAGTCAGCCTCCAGGACTCAGTATTTGTCAGGCTGTTTTCTGGTTGATTTTAAGGCATTTTCTTGAATGATCGTCAAGAAAGCTAGTCCTGTGTTATTAATTACCCTGAAGGGAACGAAATTCAAAAGAATTAGTAGATTCGTGTGGCCAATGGTTTTAGTGTTCTGTTATCAGGCAATTTAGCGTCCACTATGTTTGTAGTTAAACAGCACAAATGCCCTGCATTGTAATGAATACCTGTCCCCACGAAAGTAACGCTCATTAAATTTATTTGATCAGCTTATATTAAACTTAGAACAGAAACGATTAATCTCATGTATTGACTTCGCTATCAACCAGCATTCTTCTTTCCTCCAGATCTACTACTTTTGTAGCCTGCCAGTAGTTACTTTTATTTTCCTATAGCCTGTAAGATAATGTTTATAGCTTAATTGTGAAAAATGAGGTCACACGCTGCACAGAATTCTCAGCATCCATCCAATCTTCAAGTAAATTAGTAACCGTAGCATATTATTAGAATAATTATTGTTCTACTCAGAGTAATTTTTTATAACGTGCAGTGTTCCCCCCTCAGTTTCTTTCGAAAAATCAATAGTAGTAGTTCCAAAAGGTGCTCAGCGATATAAACAGGTCACTGGTGTATGTAGCTAACTAGGTAAGTTTTTTATATATGTCCGAGTAAGAAGTATTTATGAAAGTTTTTTTAGTCAGAGATGACTGCTGAAAAGAGTATAGAGCTTTTGTATGTGAGGTAGGAATGTTGAATGTAGGTCGTATTAAGTTTTAATCAGCTCTGGTGCTACTGGCGCTGCCAACGTATTTTCCGGAAAGCCCATATTTTTCCCAATTTACAACTTTGGATTGGCAAACACATACTTCCAACTGTTCTTGTTATTAGATATTTTGATATAATGGAGTTCTAAATATGGTTTTCAACTACTTAAACCAATCTGCGATAATTTTCAAGAGAAAAGTTCCTTCCACCGATGGAAAACTCGCTAGTGCGCTATCCCATGAACGTTCAGCGCCCCAGCATCTCAGAAAGAAAAGGTCAGGATAATATTAAATCCTAACTCCTTTGTAGATGGCAAAATGTGCACCAGCCTGCTGGGATCTTCATTAAGTCAGCGCTCTGCAGTCAACCGTTTTCAAGTCAGGTGCAGACAGTCAAAGAAGCGGTCTAAAGGATTTTATGATCCGTGTATTGATTATGATGCAATTCCCATCAATACGTACGTAGGAAAGAGTTCCGGGAAGAACTACTCTCCGGAATCAAGCTACGATGGCTACATACACGGCTCGTAGGTTAACCAATAAATAATTGACTGTCTTTTAGCTGTCAGTTAACGCTCCTCCCTGGGTGTGCATATCTCAAGAATAGTAGTAGTGAACTATCACCAGAATGGGATGAAGTATTCTCTGTAAGGATTCCGAATAAAGGTGACTTGGCATGCCCCATATGTCTACACTCACCTGTTGCACCGCGGATGGGTAAATGTGGACACGTTTACTGCTGGCCTTGTGTAACACAATATATAAAGTATGAAAACGATTCTACCAGCAAAAAGTGTGCCGTCTGCTCCTGCTTGCTACCGTTCGATGATTTAAAAAGGTGAGTAGTTGTTCTGAAACTTAAAAGGTAGGGTGTCACTCGTTCCAACTACGCAAATAAAGCCGGGTGATAATTTGGATTTCGCACTTGTGAGGCGCTCAGGAAGTGAGGTGACTCGTCGGTCAGCCACTGAAACAGATGGGGCTACTGTTTTTCAGTGTGTATGCGTCGCTGACATTGCATCAATGATGAATTTCAATGAGACGGAAACCAATGAACTCCTAACATACAAGACCATATGCGAAATAGATGGTAGCAACACCGAAATTATTCCTTTCATTGACTTGGTTCTCGACAAATTGAAACATGAAAACAGTGCTTTGCCTAGCAGTTATGGGGGTGTAAATAAACCTGACGGTGATACTCAGAGTAATCCTAATAACGCTGCTAATGACCTCTATTTCTACCAAGGTAACTGTGTCATCATTAATAACGTCTTTTTAGTCACAGACGGTCAGCCGATATACCTAGATGGTCTTGCATGGAGATGCCTGTTGACTGAGTATGGAGATATTAAAAACCTTCCAGAAGAGATTAGTACAACTGTTGTCACGATTAAAAACTGCCGAATGAACCCAGTGAGTTTTTTTGTGAAGCTATGTGAAGTATCCACTTTGTACTGCTGAGTAGTCGTATCTATCGTAGTTATACGTTATGCCGCAGTATCGTCACTATTTGTGACAATAATAAAGTGCCTATTCTTTTCTGTGAACTGAAGTCCCCTATGTGAATTGGGTCCCAAGTGGGTATGCTAAGTTTGAGAGGATGATAGTCTGTAGCTAGTGCTTTGTTTAGTGCAGACTGATTTCTATCAGTTACGTTTGCAATGTGGACACCATTCTGGTGGGCTAAATCGTACCAAGTAAAGTAGGCGTAAGGCGAGATCCAATGTGGTTTTATAAAGCTTCAACGGAACTCACCACAACCACCATATACTATCCTGTCATATTGCATCTTTATGGTTTTTTCGTTTTAGTTTCTTCGTAAACGGTTGCGTTATCTCAACCACTTACCAAATGGATATGCTTTCAGTTTGGTAGAAATCGAGTTAGAACCACCTCTGGTATCAGAAGCAACTCTAGCCCATTATGCAACGGTTCTAAATAATCGTGCAATGGAGCGAGATCGAAGTCGATTGGAAGACCTAAAACTTACCGAGCTGAAGGAAGCAGCTGAAAATCAGTTCACATATCTACGTAAGAGCTATTTACTTTTCTTTTGCTTAAAAGGTGGAACGTAAATATTAAGGGGAATTTTGTTTTTTAGTAAGTGACAATGTTGCATTTTCTATCGCCATATCTCATCTCTAAGTCCGAAGACTGTGAGGTAACACAAACAGTGAAAAATATGACAAGTTACAGTTGGCACTAAAAAAATGTCTTTGTGTTCCCACTGAAACATAGGACTTCAAGCTTTAGCTCTGAAGTTTCAGTAGCAGTGGTAATTATATGGGGTGGAGTTGCTAGCCTCACGCCCAACCTCTCTCTTTGTCGGGATTGTAACCAGCTAAGGGGGGGGTGAAGATGTGCACCAACCGGGACACGAAACCCGGACTACGTGCATGGTCAGCCAACGCTCTACCAGTCAGCAGTGCCGTGTACTTATTGGCTGCTAAAAATTTTCCCATTAGAACAAATTTTAATCTTGAATCACATCACGAAAAATATGCGTGTGACTGAAGGTTCAAATTCTGAGGAATTCGTTGAAGATTTTCTTGGGGAGGTAATATGGATATTTTCAAATTCTTGGCCAATTTCTAATTAAATATATTGCGGTTTATAGGTCGGGTATTAGTTTTCTGGAGCTAGTACATTCTATTGAGCGTTAAGAAACTTGCTGATATACCAACAAGGGTATCGTAACTAATGCCTTGATTTGCTAAGTTGTACGTTAGTTGGTCAGTTTTCTCCAACAGTTTGTATTTGGTGTATGCCAATAACCCATGTCTGTGTTGCATCATCGCTATTTACACTCAAAACAAATCGTCACATATCGGCAAAAGGTTAATTTTGTTTCAGGGCATTAAGTTTGTGCTGTTAACCCTTCCTCTTCCATCCTCCAGATTTCGGAAATGTTCATTAACCTTCATTTAACTTTTCATTGTCACTTCGTCAAAGATAATTCCTCTATTTCGTCTATGCTTTCCTGAAATATGCAGCTTGGACTGATGCATTCATGTGCAAACATATAGATTGTTAAGTCAACCGCTCAACTTAGCATTTAAGTAAGTTTCACTCGCTAATCGCCGTATAGTATATCTGTCTTTCGATATTTTCTGTACAAAACCTACAAATGAGGTCATCAATAATTTTTTATATAATAATTAGAATATTTTTTATGTTCACATTTTTTAGCTCCAGGTTTCGTTCTGAGTGGTCATGTCTCTTTGTCCGAAAAACAAGGTGAGTATACTTCGCCCTACTAAATATATTTCTTAGAACAACCTAAAATGTCTGATTTTGTCGCACTGTCATCCGGGACGAACAGTTCGCAAAAGAGTACATTGCCAGTTAGTTTTGCAGAGGTAAGTCTTAGTTTTGACTAATTTTAATGTTACACAAAACTTGAGACAAGCTAACTATCACCTGTTTTCTGTGCGAACTACTTCGGAAACTTCTAACTTAAAAAACTGATCACTGCTGATAATCCAGTCCATCACTAATTTGGCTTTGCTACACCCCCTTCATACTCTACTTGAAAATACCTATTGTTTCACGTGACTTTCAACACTGGCTGATGAGTTTTAGTTGATTAGTGAGATTTCGCTTTGATATATCTTTTAGTAGAACTGGCAAAGCCGTTTAGTTTCCTCTCGTGCTGCACTATTAACTTTAGGGCCGTTCAGTAAGGGCATAGGTTTTCTCCAATTTGATGCGCTTGTCGTCAGTGTGACTTCAAAGCCACCACACACTTATTTATATTTAGCTGAACAATGTTTCACATCACTGGCAGTTCGCTAAATTAGTGTGTTAAATATTCATTACGTACTTTACATAAAGATTACATATTATTTGGTCACAGACTCCTAATTTAATATTTCAGGTAACCCAAGAACTGATAGTTTCATGCAGTCATCACTAATGGCCCATCCTTCTTGTAACTGGAATCAGCGCTTAGTTAAGCTTCAGCTTGTTCAGTATATGCGTGGGAAGTGTTTTGAAATAGATGGCCCAATTATTTTTACATGGCTGACTATGTTTGAAAGTTGAGCAGCACCGTGTTCGATGTCAGGCTATAGTGGTGTCTAAGCGAGTTTTTTCCTTACCAGCTTCGTCAATTTTACAGTTTGCATCTGATTTGGATTGGTTTGCTGTTTTTTTAATGCTTGCATAGGTTTCTCGTGCAGGCGCACTGAGCGTTGTTGGTCCAGATCGTGTTGCTCATTTCTCACGCAGTCCTCCGAAGCCACAGACTTCTAAAGGTTTTAATATCAATTCCGAGTGCTGGCCTACGTTAGGAGAATCCTCGAAAGCTCCAGCCAATTTGATCAGAAAACCAAGCAACGTCACCCCTGATTCTGGAGAATAAATAAGGGTTTTGACTAACAAACAATTTGTTTAATGCCTAAACCGAATTCTCATTATTACATCTGAAGTATATCGCCATTTGTGCAGGACTGTTCATTGGCTCTGAATAGAAATACATATGTAGAGTAACGCACTGGAGTTAATTTCTTTTTTTCTAAAATCCTATGTAGCGGACTAACAGTCTTAAGAAACATGGAATACCAGTTGATTTTGACTGGATTGAATCATATTGCGGTGATCCCATTAATTGCCTTTCAACCAGGAAATATCTCCTGACAAACAATGGTGTCAGTCGCCTTCTGCACATATCGCTTATTGAGCTAGTTTGTCATCCTATTGCTGTCTAACAATTTCCAGTATACATGTACGTTTATGAGAAAAAGATTAAATAGGACTGTATGAATAGGGTTATATTTGTTAACATCTCGTATGTACAACACCGTTTGCAAGTAATCATCCGAATTCGACTCATTTGCCAGCGTTAATCAATGGGACAGCACCCGACTGAAATATATAAGAAAATATGTATTTATAGGAGAATATGTGACAAAAATAAAGTTAGACCATGTATCTTGGTTGTTCTTGTCAGCTAGAGCAGTGTATGCCCTGCGGGTCCTTTTTAGGACCGTTAGTATGAAACTTCTAGAGTAAATCCAACCCTAACTGTTCTTAGTAGGTGACTAATATATCTCACTCGAGTAGGTGGTGAAAGCATTCATTAGGAAAAGCCGTAATGTAGCAACATTGTTGAATTTAAAGTCTATGTAAGTGTTAAGAAAGCTAACTATGTTCTCCTCTGTATTTATTAACTAGTTGTAAAAACATTGGAGAATTAAACAAAGATAATGAGGATTATTGTGCGTTGGTGGTCCGGGGTTCGATCCCTGACCGACGCATTCCTAGACCTCGCTAAACTGGTAGTAAGCCGGATAAAGCGAGAGGGTTGAGTGTAAGACTGGCAAATGAACTCTGTAAATGCAAAATAACACTGCTGAAACTGAAAGTTGAAGCTCGAATCCATATGTTACACTCAGAACGCAAAAGAATGAAGAAAGTGAAGGCCACTACGCTCAATCTTTGGTCTCCAATTTGCAGGGAGCTTCGGGTCTGAAAGTATCCATGAAGAGTGTCATAAGATTTCAGTTAGCTATCAGAGATGTGAGTTTAAGCAATAAAACCCCAGTTAACAGATCTAATGTTTGAACCCCTCTCTACCTACTTTAACCTGGGCAAGTGGATAGTATCATAACCCGGTAAAATAAAACTTGTTTTAAGTAACTAAGATAATCAACTGGAGGCACTAGGAAGGTGTAAATCTACTAGCAAATTATACGGAGTGACTACGGGTAGCACACTTTATGACTGATTCACAGTAATGTGTTTTTCAAGAACTAACCAGCATAACCGATAGATAATACCAAATTCTGGTTTTGCCTTGTTCATTCAAACATACTGGATGAGAAAGTGGAAAACAATCTTCACTTCTTAGGCTTAAGTATCTGCGAAGAAATAATGAAGCATTTCATGCATAATATGCTCAACGCAGAGGAACTTGGCATCTTAGAACTGGTCGGTTGACTGTCGCCAAACAAGTGATTTGTACTCAATACACGAAACAGGACGTTATTTTAAACAAGAAATACCCGTGTGGCGTGTGCTATTAATAGAATTCCGTAAGTATTGTACCGCGTGTGATGTCTTCTTCAAGAATATTGAATATCGGAG